GCAATGCCTTTAGAGGTAAAATCCCGCATCAGTATCCAGCGTGGCAGGTTACTGATCCCCAAGTTTGACATCCATGAGTTTCTTTTCCTTCGCCGGTACGACTGACGCCATCTTGGAGTCCTGGTGTCCGCTGCCAGCTCTTAGACGTTTTTGATGAGAAAGATGTCTTCAACGTTTCACAGGTGCCTTGGGCATTTTCTTTCTTTTCTTTCTTTCTTTTTTTTGGGATCAACCCTCAGATATTTATTTCTCTTATCCTAAGCTCTGCTAGAGGGAAGACAGTGATCACTTACCCTTGGCAGGGCAGGCAGAGAAGCCTAAAGGGTTGAACCCCAGCTGGCTGGTCCAGTGGAAGAGGGCATGCCCTGGTGGGAAATTCCTTGGGATCAGAGGAAGATTTCCACATGAAGGAGGAAAGAAAGGGGGACTGCTTGACTGTACTGCAGGTGGCTGACTCAGCCAGAGATAGCAGCTGAACAACCCAGATGTAGTAAAAGACCACCTGGCTGCTGTCTGAACACCACCTTAACCCCCCACCCTAAATCCCTTAGAAATCCCGCACCCCCACTCTTCAGGGCCGATGCTACTCTCTTGTCTGGCCCCTTTCCTCCCTTTGGAGAGTGAGTAATAAGCCTTTCCTACCCACTTACTCTCTGAGTCTGAATTTGTTCACAGCCTGCAGCTCGCTCTATTTTTTTTCAAATAATTATTTATTTTAGTTTTGTTTATTCATTCATTTTATTTATTTTAATTTCACCAGGAAGAGACACAGAGAGAGTTAGAGAAAGTGAGAAACCAGGCCACCAGATCCGGGACTCGAACCGCAGTCGGCCACATGGGAGTGCCTTAACCACCATGCCAACTGCTGGTCCCCTGCAGCTCGTTCTTAATAGTCTTCACCTCAGACGGCCACTTCAGGCCTCTCTTGCTCTCTCTTACCTGGAGGGTTCTAGAAAACTGTTTCATCGAGCCGAAATGCTCTTCAGTAAGGTGCTATAGTTAGTTACATCAACTTTAAAATTGTAGGTTGCAGAAGCAATACCGTCTGTACGGTATTTAGGGTTTCTCTTGTGGCCTGTGGTTAAAAAATGACAGGGTAGAGGCAGCCAGGGTTTGGAGGAAGGGCAGTTCAGCAACTTAGGAAACTAATGGAACTTTCCATTCTAGGTCTGGGAAGGTATTCCTTTGGAAAATAGGCTTGAAGACAAGCTGCCGACTAGGGGGAAAGTGACTTCTGCTTGTGTGTGATTTTAAAATCTCTTATGGGAGTGCTTGACATTTTTAAACAATTATTATGTGGTTGATATTTAGTAAAGGATGACCTTTTTCTTGGTGCTTACTGAGTGCTAGGTATCACAGAGCATGCTTGGAATGCCTTCTCATCTCCTTCCCACACAGTCCTGGAAGCTGAGTACTCTAGTTGTCCCTGTTCTGTGAAGGAGCTGAGGCACAGAGAAGCTAAGGAGTTCACCCAGGGTCACACAGCGAACGGGTGCACAAGTCAGGACTTACATGTAATTGGCTCCTAACTCGTCCGCCTCACTGTTTCCCCCTAGCACTGAAAAGGTCCCACTGGGTCTTTCTGTATTTCTGTACCACCTTCCCCCTTTTAACAGAGTGCCTCATGGCAGGAAACAGGAGTGAAAGCCCTAGCTGCCTGTATCTCTGTCACTGAGAAGATAAAAACCTCCCGGGACTCCCCCCACCAGGAGCCGTCCACTTAGGCCTCCGTGGCCAGGACTGAGTCCAGGCCCACAGAGGAAACTAGAGAAGCCAAGTGCTCTGAGCCGGTAGAGCGTGTCTTTCGCAACAACTCTACGCGGTGGCGTTAATACAACCTCCCGTCGTCACGGGGCGCGGGCAGAAGTGCAGGACGCAACGTGGGAGGGCGAGTGTGGCATGGGAGCTCCACGCTGCCTGCCCAGGCAGGGAGGCCGTGGAGATGGTGTCGGCTGGAGTGGTCCCAGGCTCAGAGGCTGTTAGGGCAGGACAGAGTCGAAGAGGGACATGGAACTCTCAGCAAGTATGAAGAGACTGGTGGGTTGAAGACAGGTGTGCATTCCCACCCAGGCTGTTGAGGCTCGAGGGGTGCCAAACGTGGAAGCATTTCACTTAAAGCCCGGGGCTGTGAAGGTTTACTGTGCGGTGAATGCAGCCTCCACCCGGCCGTCCTGCCTCAGTCATTCAGCGAACAGCTGCTGCCAGTTCTCAAGGCCTCCTCAGTGCAGAGAGCTGGGTGATTCTCAAACTGGAATCCCCACCCTTAAGGAACCCGGGCCCAGTGCTGCTGAGTACTTTGACTCCCGCTCCACTAAGGGAGCTGTGGTTGTGGCCCTCTGGGGGGGAAGAGCCAGCCCTCTGGAGGGGTGGGGGTGTCAGACAGCTCCACTGGAGACCTGACCTTAAACTGGGTCTGCAGCCTGGGTCCAGGCTGGAATGGGGGAGCCCGTTCCTAGAAGCAGGCAGCTTGTTCAAAAGCACAGAGCCTGGGGAGGGCAGCGGCCTAGGCTGTGGCTGGAGGGAGCAAGAAAGAGGCCTGGGCCTGGTCCGACCACCATGGGTGGGCAGTGGCCCAGTGTAGTGGCTGCAGTGCAGCAGTCCCGTGGGAAAACAAGGCAGGAAAGGAACAGGAAACCCAGCCAGCTGCGACTGGACACACCTTGTGTACTTCAAAGGGTGGCCCTTCCAGTGTCAGTTGCCAGCCCACCAGTGTCTGTCAAGCACCTGCTGTTCCATTGAACACCTGCAGAAATGGCCTCCTCCGAAGCCACAGACGGAGCCCAGCTGGCTCCGTGACCGCGAGGACAGCTGTCCTGCTCGGGACCGTAGGCTTTCTTGCCCTGCCCCTGGCGTGGTGGCCCATCAGGGAAGGCAGTGACTGCTAGAGGAGGAAGAGGAGGCGGTGGTGCCAGGCAAGTGGGCACTCAGCTCGAGGCTGCGCACCCAGGCCGTCTGCAGGCTCAGGCTGTCATTCCACAGCACCTGTGACCCTCTGCTCTGTCCCACCAGAGGGCAGGCCTCCCTCCGGGGGCAGAGGGTGGAGAGCACAGGGACTCAGAGTCGCGTGGCCTGGCGTCTCCCCCCACTCCAGCACACCCAGGCCTTGGCCCGTCTGCGAGCCCCTGCAAGTCAGCTACCAGCACAACAGAAGCGGGTGGACCTGACGAGGGCTTCACCGAGAATCCCCCCTTGGTGATGAGAGCTGGTCCTTTGCCATCGTCCTCCATGATGCTGTGGTCACCGCAGTACAGGATAGAGTGAGGTCCCCCCTCGGGTAGGGCCTCGAAGCGAGCAGGGATTAGCCGACTCGATTCCTTTCCTGGATCGGCGCTTCCACGCCTCACGCCCCTGGTGCCGTCCAGCACTGGGCTGTTCCCAAGGGCACGACCTTGTGGGTTTTGCTCGCTGATGTCCCCCAGGGCCTGGATGAGGGGTGTGGGGTATGTCTGAGAGGCACGTTGAGGATACGGATCTGAGAACCAGACCTCACTGGCTCCAAATCTCTCCTCTGTGACTTAGAGACTGCGTGACCAGGGCGGGTCCCTGTGCCATCAGGGCACTCTTCTAAGGGTCGTGGTGAATCGTAACCGGGGTGCGAAGTGCTTGTCAGTCCCATGCTTGGTGCATACTGAGTGCCAAGTGAGCGTGTGTGTGGTGGTGGTTTGTGAACTGGACACCCGACTTCCAGGCAGAACCCCTGGGCCCTGAAGGAACAAGGCCCATTCTGTCCTGTCCCTCTCAGCCTGGCCCTCCCAGTCTCTGATGAGTTCAGGTCGACCCTCAGGTAGGCAGGGTTATGGACAGTGTTTTAACAGAAAAAAGAAGGTTAGATCTGTGTTTGAGAGGAGAGCAGAGAGGTGACAGTCTGGGCCAGGGGAAGGTGCCATCCTGGTGACAGTGAGCCACGTGGGGCTGTTGGAGCATGCAGGGTGGGAAGGAGCAGGCTCGGGTCTGCTGCTTCGGAGGCTGATCCACTGAGCACCTGCAGAAATGGCCTCCTCCAGTCACAGACGGGAGCCCAGCCACCTCCGTGACCATGAGGACAGCAGTCCTGCTCGGGGTTGTAGGTCACCCCCAAGGATGAGAAGCTGGGACCAGGGCCCACGGTACCAGATCAGGGCAGGCCAGGGGCGGAGACTGTACGTGTCTTAGGTGACCACACGTTTCCTCTCTCGACCCAAGTCACATTGTCCCAGTTCCTCGTCGCTGACCTTTGCTTGTGGTGCAGACGGTGACTGCTAGGACAGCCACAGCACCCCGGGCACAAGCAGCCTTATCCCAGCTGGCAGGCACGACGACAGAGCCGCGGAGAGGCCGTGTCTTTGCCCAGTGTCTGGGAGTCAGGAGAGGCGGCCAGACTCGTGCGACTCCAGCGCCTGTGCCACTGCCCTTGCTGAGTGGCCGGGCGTCTTGCTGTCATGCCAGGCAGATGAGTGGGAGCTCTCCTGCAAGGCGGTATCTACACCAGGCCCAGCAGAGGACAAACTGCTGAGCCCCAGGACTGCCAGCAAAGCTGCCTGGTGGCAAGTGGCGGTTGGCAGAGCCTGGCTCCCTTGGGAGCTGGGAGATAGAAGCACAACCACCATCCAGGAGCCCTGGAAGGTCACTACCAGCCGTCCAAGGTCAGGGAGTTGGTTCTCATCTCCTGGGTAACTGGTAGCCACTATCTGTGCTTTCATTCTCCTTAAATAGCAACGGAGTTAAAAACAAAACAGGTGTCTCCAGATCCCTGCGGGTTTGATATTCTGTCCGTGATGGAGACGCCTGCCCTAGGGAATCTGACCGGGAGTGCTCCTCTCTCACTTCCACATGCACATGCGTGTGCTCTCTCGTAGATAAAGAACATCCTGTTTTAATGGTTTGTTTTATGTGATGGGCAGCATCTGGCCACTTGCCTCCTCTCCCACCGCCTCTGCCTCCCTCAGCCCTCTCCACCACCGTCAGAGCTTGTCCGCTGGGATCCCTACACACCTTTCTGATTTGTGCTTTCTTCTCCCCAGAGAAAGCCACGGAGGGCTCCCTGCAGAGTGAGGACTGGGCCCTCAATATGGAGATCTGCGACATCATCAATGAGACCGAAGAGGGGTAAGGGCCCTTGAGGGGGCAGCCGTGACAGGGGGACACATCAGCATTGACCTGCACTTCGCAGCCTGCCGGACAGCCCCGCCCCAGCCCCATCACCGCCACCTGCAAGTCCAATCCTATTTCTGACCCTTGGTACTGGGAGGAGCTGTAGAGGTGGTCTGGGCCCCACCCCAGGTAGGAATGCAGCGTAGTAAACATCCAGAACCTTGAGCCTATCCATCCCTCTGTCCACCTCCCTCAGATCGTGGCGTCCTCCTAATTGCCCCCAGCTCCTCCCACAGCCTGGGTACGGGCTCTCACCGCAGCCTGGACCACTTTTCCCTCCCTCCATGGACCGGTCCTTCCCATACTTCCCTGGAATGTAGGGTCCTCAGAAGCAGGGCATGTGGTTGTTCACCACTGTGTTCTCAGCACCTAGCAGGGCCCACGCATAGTGGGTGCTTAGTGAGACCTGGACAGATGGGTGGATGGACAGATTGAGAAGCTGGCAATGATGGGTGTCAGGACACTAGGGCTACAGGTTACTTGTTTCTTAAATTTCAGCATGCTTCAGAACCACCTATATGGGATCCATGCAGATTGGGGGGCCTGACTCCCCAAGAATTTGGTTCAGGTGGTCTGTGGTGGGAGCCCTGAGTTCTGCATTTCTTTTTTTTTTTTTTTTTTTTTTTAGAAGTTTTTTCTTTAGGGGGGATGCGCTCTCCAGAAAAACAAAAA